AATTTATTATATTCATAGTGTTCAATAAATTGCTGAATAACTCGTTAAATATTAAAATTGTGAAAGTATAATTAATCTTAAAGCATAGTAAAATGTTTAAGTATTACATTTCCGATCTATTAACTTTGAATTGTAGAGGCATACCGTGGCCACTTAGCGATTTACCGGGAGCTGGTTTCAAAATTACCCAGGGATTTTTCCCTTGAGTTTTTTTACATTAAAAGGTAGGGTATGTTTTTTTTATAAAGTTACAGACAAATCCAGTCATTAGTAAATCGGATTTAAAATTAGAATAATATCTTTGTTTTAAGGAATTCATACTGAAAATCAATTTACCTATACTGAAAATTAGGCACAATATAATATTCAAGGTTCCGTAAAAGGTAATTATTATTTGGCTATTTCTTTTCTATACAAAGCCTTTAGATATCAGCAAAGAACCTCGATTAAAAAATTTAAATTTCGTAATATTTATGAAATTATTTATTACTAGCTGTGCCCGCGATTTCGTCCGCGTTTAATAGTATGGGTAGAATTTTTAATTGTCTTTCCAAAGGTCCTCTCTTGTTACTATCTATCTGTTTTATCTGACAATCCACCGCATGGTCCGTAATTTGATTGTCAATAAATCATAATCCTTTGTACATAAATTGTTCCTTAGGGATAAACCCTAAGAAGTATTCCATAATTATAACCTTCTCTTGGATTAGTTAAGCCTGTTTACACCGAAATCTGCACGATCTTCATTGGGATGCTAATCTCGAATAAAAGCTATAAAGAAGACATAAAGAGGGATCTATTAAGACGGTGTGTGCTTTTTCACAAGTGTCTCTGGTACTTAACAAGTTAATAGACTGATTTTACGACACCCAAATCTTAGAAGGGTGTGTGATGTATTATACGACTTTGAGGAGCTACGATTAGAATTTTTTATGATGTAGTCTATTCGATCTTACCATAATTGGTGTTCAAACTTTATGTATTAATTGTAGCAAGAATCAATAATAGTGTCAAGGTATATTGCTTTTATAAAATATTAAACAACATAACTCCTACCGGTCTTCTTTCAAACTTTTCTTTCTACTCTGCTCTCAAGAATACTAGAAACAATTGCCTCTTTTACTCCCCAACGCCCCGTCTTGCGACTTCTGCCAATTCCCCGATTAATAAAATAGTTAGATCGTACAATACAATATGTAAAAATAACATAGATATAGACATATTTCACAACAGCCTGTACAGATTTCGTATCCTAGTGCGACAGGCATTAGGTTAGTCTTAGTTCATGTTCTGTCTCCCTAGTTTGTTTATTTCACATCTTTATGTTTGTTATTTTAGTTCTGATTAGTATTAGGTTTACTTAGGATTACTTTGTTTACTTATAGGAGCAACTTTTAAGTAGTCGCGTTCGTTATATGCTTATTTCCTTTAATATTATAATGTCTGTTTTGTTTAATGACTAAGGAGGGTAGAAATGCACGAATTTTACTGTGACAATAAGTATGCTGTCGACCTATTAAGTTTTTGGAATATTTAAACGGGTTTCCATCTGCGGACCGTGGATGGATTTTCTACATCCTATCACGCTTTAGACAGGCTCTAATATGTTTTTTAACTGCGGTTGTCGTCCTATGACCATGGACCAATAAGTCCAAAATTTGTTACAAAATAAGGCAACTCGTAATAAGTAAGTACATTAGCGTTTCAAATGCTGATATTAAAAAGTAAAAAAAGGAGAAAACAATCCTACTTTAATGGTTACTCTCACAAAACTACAGCTTCAGCCTCCAACTGTAATCGCTTCAAAAAATAGAAGAAAAAGTAAGACAGTCACGGAATCTCTGAATCCCCTAAACCTCATTACAACAACCCGTATTTAGTTTATCCGTAGTTCGAAGCGGAGCGACTCTGAAATATTATGGAGAATTGTAGCAAATCTCTTTTCAACGTAGATTTTCTTCGTTTGAAATAAATTATGACGTAAATTATATTGTATCCGACTCTTGTATTATGTAAAATACTAGCTGTAATTTACGCGAGTACTTTTAATTAAACACTTAAACGGTTTAAAACCCGATATGTATTCATTAAACTTGCTTAAAAACGGCTGCTTCAAAGCATCCGAAACATCGGGACGTAGTTAAAATATTTTTTATACAAGTTTAGCTAATATAAATCGCGTTTAGAAAGTGTTTTATTTATATGATGTATTATGTTACTATAGTATATCTGGTTTACAAAGACATTCAGGAAGGCTTTATTTAAAAAAAAATTAAACTGGAGAACTTACATTACAGAGATAATCTTCATCATCATCATAATTATCCACTCCTTCAGGTCCATCTTAAGTGTACGTAAACTCATTTATCTGTAAAAGTTCATTTGAAAACTTAAATATTTTGCACATGTGTTTCAATATTTATATGAATTTAAAATCGACTTCAGATTGGAAATAAATTACGACACGGGCGAGTCTTGAACCGGACATTCACACCGTTTCGTGCTTATGCTCTAACCAATTGAGCTACCGTGTCAAAGTTCATTATAAATACACTGAATCCGCCAGAGATCAAACCCACGAAAATTATAGCCAAAATAGGTCGACAACACATTTTGTGTAGATGTTATATGGCTATTTCACCTCACTTCAAGTGAACCATGTTTGTCTGTCCTTCTCTATCATTAAAAAAATGTCAGTAAACGTCCGCTCGTATTCTCAAATCGGCATACAAAACTAACTTAAATGGAAATCTGAAAGCTAAGGCTTATCACGGATCAGCGAACTTCATTCGTCACCTCGAGATGGACTTCGAAACTAATCGTATTTACACGATTAAAGTAGATGAGATGGAACGTGCTCTATTACGTAAGTACATACCGTTTTCTGAGGTACAATTTACGTAATAAAAAAAATCAAGATTTGGGTAGTGAAAATTTCATGTTTTTGAAATCGTTTCTTAACGGTAATCAAAGCCTTCGATTATAATTGCATTCGATATGATTATTGTGTACTATTATGAGTCATTAATTCAATTTCAATGGCTATTCAGAAGTCTGAAATAATGTGTGTTTCGCTAGGACTACCAATTAAATAAAACACGAGTAACGGTTTAAAACGCGAAATTTATTAGTTAACTTATTTACGATGTATTTTTTAATTCTATAAATAAGTAAATATATGTCGCGTTTCAACCCGTTTTATTTAAAAGTACTACTCGAGCAAACTACAGACAATATTGTGGGCTTCTGAATAGCCATTGAATTGATGAAAAGTGTTTAATTTAAAAGTCAACAATACTAATAGCTACAATTTCGAAGATGTATTCTTAACGCGTATAAGTAACTTATTTGATATTTCTAACTTCGGCCCGACGTTTGGATTTGATATATAAGGTTTAAAAATTTGTTTAATATCATTTAAAAAAATTAAATGTGTGGAAATGTCTAAAAGCACAGATATTAATATTGAATATTTGCTTTGTGTCTGCATGGTTCAATCCAATTCTCACTAATTCGTCAATTCATGAATAACCAATAATTCATATCCACTCGCTGAAATCGAGAACGGATATTTATAATCGCTCTCCTTTCTCGCGTTTTGTACACATTTCGTTATAAAAGGATTTATTTACAGTTGATCGGGCAATTGCTTATTGCTAGAGCTTACAACGTTAAACATTCCTTGAACACGATATGCACTTGTAAAATACTAAAATTGAATTTCAGCGCCGGTATAGAATCGTGAAGGATACGATTTAATACAATTTTGAACCCTCTTGTAAATTGTGTTCTTTTGACAAAACTTTTTCTCCACCCATACCACCAAGACTCCTATAATATAGCTATGTACATACACTAGCTGTGCCCGCGTCGTGGTCCTAAATATTACAAGATAGACATATGATGTCACGGACATTTTTTAGATTTTTTAAAGAAGAATCATTCTCTGATACATTTTTTTTTGGTTTCTGAAACCGTTTTTACTGTCTAACGCTTCTAATGGAAGCCCATAGATATAAAGCTTAATGCCTTCCTCGCGATTGTTTCAACCATTTTCCTAGGTAACCGCGTTCAAACAATCAAAGAAACAAACAAACTTTTCGGCTCGAATAAACCGCTGCTATACCAAAATTAATAAGGTAAATAAGAGAATTAACATTTCACTTTATAAAAATACTAGCTGTGCCCGCGACTTCGTTAACCCATGGAATAGTGACATTGGGTCAAATTGCAAACGTTCAGTAGTTTTGGTGTGAAAGATAAAACAGACAGAAAGATTCGACATTTAAAAAATTAGAAAGGACTAGAAAGGATTAGTCAAAACTTAAGCGTCTAAAATTTTATTTATATAATTATTCATGTCGCAAATAAGACATTTGTAACTACAAACTCGGTGGTCATGACTTTTAACTTGCTTTAAGTGTCAAACAAACTCTCGACAACTTTGAATGACTAACTTGAACAGTGTGGATGTGTATTAAATCACCTATTACATTTTATGTGAGCTTGAAGTTCAATAGATTACTATGAAATAATAACATAAGAATACCAAAAGAATAGTTTTTTACAGTTCATCTATTTCTTACAAAGAAATAACGAGAATTCAAGAATGAATCTTGCTCAAAAATTTCTTTTTTTTTTAATACCTCTCACTGACTAGCGGTTTAAGGATATATTGTATCCATATTTAATTTCTGTAATAACTATCCTATTATTACAATAAGCTAATAAATACGACTTGGGTATAATTGGTTATGACTAATTATTAACTGCCATTTTAATCTATAGCAAGAACCTATTTTGTATCATTAGTACAATATTATATAGTCTACGTATTAAATTAAAGTACTGGCACAAAAGTGACATTTATTTCAAAAATATACGCGCACATTAAAACTGTCATTTTAACAAAATTATTTAAGTATAATCCTATTTACCATGGCAAAATACCATCAATAGCTTCATTTTTATTCGTTTCACACCAGATTTATGAATTAAACATGAACGACTTTGCCACTTTAGAAAAAACTATAGTACGTGAACTCTCCTGCCGCCTGTGTCTTTGCAATGATGTTATCAAACTAAAGCCCCTCAGTGCCGAGGTTAAGCGAAAGATTAAGAAATTATATGATATCGTTGTAAGTTAAATAATCAGAAATTAGAAAACTTGATTTCTAACAAAGAAGCTATGTGTGAAATCCCGTTTCCCCTCGTGGGGCATAGGGCGGACACACATCTGTGTCCGTTTCAGTGGTCGGTTTTATTTTTAGTTTAGTGATAACTTCTGTGACCTGCCCGACAGAAACAAATTTACTGTTGCCCCGGGATTCGAACCCAGGACCTCTCGCGCTCAACGCAACGCTAGGCAACACGTTTAAGCTACAGAGGCGGTCAAGAAACTAAGAAACTATGGTTATAGCTATATTCAGTGATGGTAGAATGTGTTTATATTTAAATTAATTAATGAAAATATAATCTAAGCTAGCCTAAGTACTAGTATCGTAGTGAGATAGTTCAACTATTAGGGCTTGTACCTAAATTGCATCAAATTGTAATCAAGGAACAAGAAAAAGGTTTTTAGAGTTATTAAAAAAAATATCATGGTGTCTTTATTTAAAGAATTAAAAATATTTGTTACATTTTAAACGGTTCCAGATACACACAGACGATTGTCTACCGAAAGCCATATGCCACGACTGTCTGCAACAAATCAGTAATTCATACATCTACGCAGTTAAAGTAGAGAGAACCCAAAAGTTTTTAGAGTTTCACAAATGTAAAACGATCGAAGAAAAGCAAGGTGCCAACACAAAAGGCTACCCCATCATTACCGATTTATCAGTAAAGAATGATACACCAAATCCAAATTCGAACAGTCCACCAAAACCAGCGTCACCAACAGATCTGCAACAGGGCGATACTAAAGCAAAACCCAAGCAAGCGAAGAAGAAAACTCCAGCAGATATGAAGTATTTAGAAGCGATGCCATTAGAGGAATTCGCTAAAACTGAAAAAGTAGATAAGTCCTTACTAAACAGTACAACATCTGCGAACACAAATCCCGTACAGACTGGGTTAGCTGAAAGGAATATTGACGATGATGTTACAAATGCAGAATTGGATCCAATCGTAATAGTCGATGGGAGACCAGCTAAGCAGGGCCCGGCGCTTGATAGGCAAATAACACTGTTTTACAAGATGGAATGTTGCATCTGTCATGAAACGGGTTTCCATTTTAGGTCGCTAATGAAACACTATAAAGATAGACACGGCGTACCGGGCTACGTGACTTGTTGCGATAAAAAATTCCACTATTTCTACCCGAAAAAAATCATTGAACACATGGCTTACCACCTTCAGCCAAATATATTTATGTTAGTATTTTGTACTTTTCACGGAATTTTTCAGTTTACGGCTTTGTCACAAAAATTATATAGCGTGAGATACCTTTTATTCGCGTCTTTATAAAATTACAACAGAAATCCATTAGGAACTTTGAAAATAATGGTATACGACAGAAAAACAGCGCATAAAAATACTTTTCAGAAATAGAGTATATTTATATACTGTACAAGATTATATTATGTGGCATATGGAATGGAGATTTTTCGTAGTGGCATACTGAGTAGAATCAATTATATAGAGTAGGATTACTCTACATATGACTTTCCGCCTTTCAATTAAGGTGGTCAGTCAGTGTCCTATTTTTAGTTCATAAATGATTCGTGTTTAGTAAACATATTACTACTTATATTATAAATAAAAGGCCCTTTAATGATTTAAAACACCAAATGTATTTGTTAAACCTAATTCATGGTCTCCCTTGACCACAGCTTCAAAGCATTCGAAAACTCGGGTCGTAGTTCAAATAAATAAAATTCGAGTGCAATTACTATATCTTAACCGTTAAAATTGTATAAATGTGTAACTACTATTGTAAACTAACAATACCAAAGCTTTTTATTTTATTTATTAATGTTACACTGAATTACTGCGACATTTTGAGAAGCTAAATAGGTATACAAAATTTAATAACTGTTCCTTAAAATGCAGGTGCCAAAGTTGTCATCAGAACTTCCAAACGTCACAGGAGCTGACGGAGCACCAGACAAACGGCGGTCGAACGGAAGGCAAGATAATATGCCCCCGGTGTTCAGACCGTTACCCCACATACAAGGAACTGGGGACGCACATTGTCACGCATAGGACAGACAAACTTCAGTGCGACTATTGTGGGAAACAGTACGTATTTAACAAACGTTATTATCAAACACCTGGGATCCCATATTAAAAAGTCTGGATCCCAATAAACAGCATACCGGCAAACGCGAAGACACCGTTAGTCAATTCTACAAAGATCCGGCCAGTTTCGCCAAATACCAACTTCGACGGGACAGATGGCGCTAGCGTAGCAATTTTTTACTTTGACGTCAGAGACATCCTCCATCTTTAGTCTCCCCGTGACCACGGCTGCTGCAAAGCATCCGAAACGTCGGGCCGAAGTTAAAAATCAATTCTAAATAAGTTTAACTAATATATCGCGTTTTAAACCGTTAAAGTGTTTTATTTAAATGTGTACTACTCGCGTAAACTATAGACAGTATTTAAGTTAATATGTTTAACAATTTTAATACAGTTTGGACCGTTGAAATAACGTCACTATAGTGGTGGTAGTAGTATTCGTCAAATAAGTCGTTTTGTCCCGATGCTCATTCGAAATGTAAGAAATACGAAGATGGAGATCCGGCATAATGTTTAGTGACGTCTTATACGTTTTAACTTTTTTTGGAAAATTTCAAGCGATTAGTTACACCAGAAATATTTTTTTGGGTCTTCGCTGTTTATTTAGAAATATAGTTTCTATTATTCGACAAACTGTAATAAATAAATTCTTGAGAAATACATAGTTCACTTCTTAAATTTTCAATTTTTCAGATTAAAACACCACCACCGCAAGAAAACTGTAAACCACATGGAAGATGTTATTCTGTGTTCTCAGTGTGTGCGGACTCTAAAAAACATTGAAAAACAAGAAAGAGACATTGTGAGTGTGCATTAGTGTGGCATTAAATATTTTTGAACGAATTGATAATTTTGTTCTTTACTTCGAAATACATGAGTATGATGCTATCTATGTTAAATGTGTACTACTTGCACTTCGCGAGTAGTACACATTTAACAGTTTAAAACGCGATATATATGTTAGTTAAACTTATTTTGAAAATTGCTTTTAACTTCGGCCTGAAATCTCCTCGTGACCACGTTTTATTTATACATGAATGTGATTTTGTTTAAACATTTAGCTAAGCAAACCAAAATACCAGTATAGATTAGGATAACTTATGACATACAGGTTATTTTACAGAAAGAAAAGGTCAAAAGTAAAAGCATCGATACGTTAACGATGCAAAAGTATCAGAAATTCCGACAAGCGATGGGACTATCCGCCGACGAGGAAGCGTCTTCAGATTAATTCCGAGTTCTATAAAAATTGTAATATTAAATAAAGTCACTCAAAACTGAATGTGAAATAAAACAATCGTACACTTTGATGTGTTTATTTGAAATAGTACTTTACACAAGATACTGCAGAGCTTTTTATAAGGCTCCGGTCTCCTATAAACGATGTGAATTGCGATAAGCGTCCGGCGTTGCATCGCTGATTGAACTGTTGTTTAAATAACTTTACGGGTAACAACTTATATGAAAATTATTTTAACTACGACCCGATGTTTCGAAAGCCCGTGACCATGGCAATAATTACGGCTTTAAGCCAAGTGTAGTAGTAAGTTCTCCTTCACACACTGACGAAGGCTATGAAGCCATAACCGTCGAACGAAAGCTTCGCCCCAATTCTTTACCTCAGATTTTTTACTAATTGCAGCGTTATTGTGTACAGAAGACTGTCTCCTCTATTGTAATCTTCTATAGTATAGCTTGACGTCATTTATAGGAGACCATAACCTTATAACGCATTTATTACGAAGGCTGCGAAAATCTTAAAATTAAAACGATTCGCCATCCTGTGTGGGCCTCTTAAAAAACTCCGTCTTATCATATTCTTAAAAAATTTTAAAAACCTATTTTTTTTTGGTAAAATGTTAAATCTATTTAACTTAATCTAATCTCCTCTTCTTAACTAGGGATCCCAGGAGATCAGATATCGCTGGAAGATTATTCGTCTGATCATTAGCACCAGTGTTCAGGTTCGATAACGGTATATTAAGTTGGTTGGACCCCTTCTGTCCCTTCATATTCCTGTGCTGTGGGAAGCTTGGCATCAGCTTTGGATCACAAGCTAAAACAAACAAAGGCAGATGAGATCATAAGTCAAACAATTTTGTCAACAGTACCCCAGCCATATAAAGTCTCAACAAGATGCTTTGAAACCTATTTTAACTTTGGAAATTCAGAAAATCACTGACTGAAAACAAAACTGAAAACTTAACTGCTTTTTTCATGTGTGGACGGTGGTTCGTTATCCGGATGAAATCTCGATATTTCTACCACTTACTTTACCAGTACAGAATTCCAAACGAAATTCAACGTGATTCAGGTAAACTTTAAAATGCTTAGGTGCATTTTGGACTTCGCGGGCACCGAACACACAAGCGTTGTTTATTGGCCATACATTGGTACCATTGGGCCAACAAGACCGCGCAAAAATACAAGAACTTTAAGCTTTATATCAGAGTCATAATAGCCAATGCGATTCTGTGCAAAACAGCTTTAAAAAATATATTGTAGATATTGAAATATATATTTCCACTTACGTAGCGGTTGTTCTTTGAAGTACGAGCTCTGAAGGCACTCCTCAGCTGTGGCTCGCTTCTTAGGGTCATACATGAAAAGGAAATTAAGCAGACGCAACCCTGCAGCAGAGAGCCATGGGAAGCGCTGTTTTAAATTGTTGTACGGCTGTTGTTTTAATGTGAAATTCTGTAGGGCTGGTAGCGAACTAAATTCTGGCCAAATTGCATCAGATGGCGTCCCTGAAATTAGACATTAGGATGGTTTTATTTAAACCTTATAGATTTAGGTTCTATAATAAATATATTTTACACAATCTTCAGAATTTTAAAATAAGATCAAAATCAAGAAATGGTTAAACTACTTAAACCATGCCTAAGATTTTTATGTAAAAGTGAAGTCATTTTAGTCTTCTTGCCATTCTTATCCAGTTTATCGTACCAGAATTCTGTAAAAGTACCAAACCATAAAAAGTAAAAATAAAACTTTGACACCCTCAGTATTTTTCACATTACACACGATGGCAATATATAAATTTCAAATGATTTTCCTACCCATACTGTAATTTTTTTCCAATCTAAAACCGATTTTTATTGTATAAAACTTACCAAGCAAATCAACAATCAACTCAAGCTGCTCAATCTCAGTCCGTCCTGGCAACAAGGGTTTGTTTGCTAAGAGTTCGCCTAGAATGCACCCAGCCGCCCACATATCAAGTGCTGGTGTCTGTTTAGGCGACTGTAGCAGTAATTCTGGAGCACGATACCAGAGAGTAACTACGCGAGGTGTAGCACATCTGGCAGGGGCACCTAGCCATCGGGCTAGACCAAAATCAGCTGGAAATAACATTAACTTAGTAAATTAAAAATCAATTATAAACCTTAATAGTAACATATATAGTAAATGTACTCTAGTAGCTATATTTTAATTATTGAATTGTTTTTTCATGCAGCCATTAGATAAAATTATGAATATAAATATGATATGATTTTAATACTAATATTTTTTACATGGTATGATGTCAATATTCATTTAAATAACAGATTTAGATTTTTTTAAAATTACAAGACTTGCATCAGCATGGATATATATTTACTTGAACGTCAGAACTTTTCTATTATAAATTATAGTATTTGTAAAAACATAATCATATTTGGATTACCTATTAAATTAATTAAATAAACATTTTATACATTACTACTGACAAACAATAAAAGGTTAGGGGGAAAAGAGGGACAAACAACAGAGTGGCAGTAATTGATTCTTTAATTCTTATCAGCCCTAAAGAGAAAAAAAATGTTTACCTATTTTAACGCAGCCCTTGTCAGTAAGAAGTAAATTGGATACTTTTAAATCTCTGTGCACAATGAAATTGGAATGTAAATATTTTAAACCCTTTAGCACTTGCAGCATGAGACATTTTACTTGAGATTCCGTGAAGGGGGACGACATATTATCAAGTAAAGATGCCAAATCTTGCTCACAATATTCCATGGATAGGAAAATACTGAAATTCAACAGATTTCATATTGAATATAATCTACGATAGATACAGTACAGTATATACTTATTGTCAATAATCATTATAAACTAGCTTTTCACCGGCTGCTGCCTATATTATTTAAATCAATAAATTATTTTTCAAGTTACTGGCATCACAACATTAGTTCATGAATTGGCCCTAGTCTTAATAAGTCTGTGCATCCCTGATTTAGATCTCAGATTGGTTAAATTTCCAAGGATGTACAATTATTTTTTCATAAGGGGAAGGCACATAGGATAGGGCCTATTAGACTGCACAATTTTAAGATTCAGGAATTGATTTTGACTGCTTCTGCACACAGCTTTCACGATAAATATTAGAAACTGGTTAATAAAAATGTATTCATATAACTAACCTTTCAAGAGACCGTCCAACTAACACCTCCTTTAGCTGCACAACATTTTCATGACGACATGCCATTAATACCTGTATTTCTCTAAGACCACTTAAAGGTAAACCATCTTTCTCAACATCCATTCTGACTTTTTTCAATGCCACTATGTTGCTACTCATTTTGTCCCTGGCACGGTCTTAAATGGTGAACAAAATAAAATATTGTAAGAATTGTCAAAATAAATGATATTTTATGGTAATATAAATTTGTATACTTACAAACTATGCCATATGTTCCTTCTCCGATACGATTTAGTTTCTCAAATTCACCAACAAAGCGGCATCTTCCAAGCTGGAGGCATTATTAATTGCAAAATGAATGAGGAATAAACATTATGTTCGCCTCTACTAAAGCGCAATGATATATTAAAAACAATAATAAAATAATAAACACTGGAATAGCTACACATTATCTCATATAATTTATAAATGAGGTTATGTCACTCACAATGTCTTTCTCCGGTATCTCCATAGTTTTACCGGTTCTAAATGATACGAGAACCCCTTTGCGTGCTGCAGGACCCGTAGGATCAGATACATCCTGAATGGACACCGGCTTTTCAGAATCTAAAGAATGGTTATAGTCAGAAACAAAATGAAAATACGAATCGATGTGAAAATTCTTACTTACTTTGAGACATGATGTATTTAATTAGGCAAAGTATTATTTTAGCTGACAGTTATTTTCTTTATTTAACTCATATAATTATTTAGTATTTTAAAATGTTTTAAATAAACAATCGATAATAGCAATACGCAAAGATTATGCGATGTAAACATTAAACAAGGAAAGTTGTTTATGGACAGACGTTTATCAAGCGGTGTTTTATACAGACTATTAATATCTATTACCTTCGCGAATTAGGGATGTGCGACGTAAACCGGTTTTTGTATATTTGTGTCTAAGTACTATCTATGATCTCCTTTAATTAGTCTGTAATCTTGTTTATTCTAAATTCTAATCATAATTCAAAAAATTAAAAATATTTATTGCAATGTTTAATTTATAAAAAATATTCTACATATATAATACAGGCATTAGCAACATTTCATGCTGAAAATGTTTTGATTTCGTACTTAAAATGGATAAAATCTAATAAATAAATTGGTCATTCAATGCATCGTATTATTATATATTTATGTAATGACCCTATCTGGAATAGCTAGACCGCTAGGTCAGTTTTGGAGAACTCACATGTAAGGAAGAATGAAAAATATTCAAACTACTAGTCACTTAAAGGCCTTACGGAAATACTGAACACGTTTTATTTGTTATAAATAATACCTAACCAAACAAAATCCAATGTAACAGGCACGGTATAAAAAATATAGCAAATCAAAGTGAATAATTATTTAAAAATGAGAATACCCAGAGTTATTAGCCCACAATATCAGAAGAAATTATTGTGAGTTTTTTATTTTTACATGCTACTAAACATACCTATTGTATACCCTTAGCTTATACTTATAATATTAAAATACAAACATAGAGAGGTATTTTATATAGCACTTAATATTTATAAAATCTGCAAGTTCAACAAATTCACTATAAATGAATAAATATGGAAGTTATTATTGATATGAGAGTTACCAAAAACAATTAAAATCATTGTGATATTGATATGAATATTATCGTTCTTTGGAATTATAAATTGAAGGTTAATTTTTACAGAAAGAAATTTGGGGTGTACGAAAAGGTGCTTCCAACAACAACCACTCCAAGTAGAACTGTACCTGAACATATACAGAGGCCAGACTATGTAACAGGTCCCCATCATCATATACCTAGAAATCCCGAAATCAAAGATGAAGAACAGATAAATGGAATGAGAGCCAGTTGCCAGCTTGCTTCGGATGTTCTTAATAAAGCAAAATCGTTTATTCAAGTAGGTTTGAAAGAAATGCAATATAGTACGTTAATATTTTAAATACCTACTGCTTTCTTTGGTTGACTGCATTTTCTGATTCAATCAGAGAATAAATAGAATAAAAATCAGTGATTTTAGCATTATATTACAGCTTACCATATAAATTAAGTAATTCAATGATTAATTTTTAGGTCTTTTACTCTTAGCTGCTTTGTACCAATTATATTCCCTTAATTTTTCAGCCAGGTGTCACAACAGATGATATAGATGACCTGATTCACTCCTTCATTGTGAATGCTGGAGCTTACCCATCTCCTTTAAACTATAAAGGGTTTCCTAAAAGCATCTGTACATCAGTCAACAATGTTGCTGTTCATGGTATACCAGATTTGAGGCCACTAGAGAATGGTGATATTATTAATGTTGATATAACAGTAAGTAGAACTAATGAATTTTTTTTTTAATTTAAATGTAGGTCTGAAGGTAGTCATGAAATCAATAGAATTGTGTTATTTTTTAGGTTTACTCTAAAGGATATCATGGAGATTGTTCAAAGACATTTTTGGTGGGTGATGTTGATGAGAAAGGCCAGGAATTGGTAGCAGTTACAGAAGAGTGTTTACTTAAAGTAAGTGAAGTGTTTAATATAAAAAAAAATTACGATACCCTTGTTTTTCATATTTGCAGTCGTTTTTTAGTTGTCAAAGTTATAGATTAAGGCTACTAGAGGCAGAGTTGGCTAATAACAAAAAAAAAAGGTGACTTCCAATAAGGACGAAAATAAAAATGCCCAATCAACTTAGCCATAATTGAATTTGTTGCAATTCACTCTAAGTCTTCCATAATTTTACTGTTAAATAGTTTTTTTACCACAGGCAATAAATCTATGCGGACCCGATGTACCCTTCTGCGACATTGGGTCACGGATTTATAGGCATGCAAAAACTAAAGGCTTGACAGTGCTTCCAGCTTTCGTTGGTCATGGTATTGGGAGTTACTTCCATGGACCTCCAGATATCTACCACATGCGTAAGTTTAGGTTTCATTCTAGAAATTCATTTGCAAGTAAATAATGTCATTCTCCCGTCTAATATATTTCGACTTTCTTTCAACTAAAACATTATTTCAAAGGGATTTGAATCTAAAGCTAGTCTTAATACAATAGATGAACTGTATCTGCAAAATTTTGTTAACACAACTAGATTTTTTCTATGACAAAGGGGGACAGACAAGCGTGAGGTTCTTGATGAAGGTGAAACAACACGGTCATAATATCTAAAATGAGATGCGTCGTTGTCGATTTTGACATTTGGAAATCAACAGACCTGTTCAAACCTGTGTATAGCTTTAATATGTTCTACGACCCACCATTGTCACTTAATTTTCAGGAATATAATAAAATGGTGACCTAGTTAATAGTTCCAATGACTATTCAGCAATATCTATATAAATGACTAAGCACGTGTTTGTCGCCATGGTAAAAACGCCAAAACATCCTTGAATTTGAAAACTAACATTTTTCACATGATGGCATTATATAAATTAAAAATCGATTGTAGATTGAAATAACGTGTATCAATAGGTTGAAAATATTCGACGATAACGTGTAGGACGCGGTAGCTCAATTGTTAGACTGTGGATGCCTGTTCAAGTCCCGCCTGTCTAAAATCGATTTTTAATCCTTGAATTTGTTTATATTGGAATAAACTCTGAATCTCTTTTTTAGTGAACAGATATCCTGGATTAATGAAACCCGGGATGACTTTCACAATAGAGCCGGTTCTATCGCACGGCCGAGAGAACACATACATATTGGACGACGGCTGGACCATTGTGACAGAGGACGGTTCTAGAACCGCACAGTGCGAACATACAATATTAATTACAGAGAACGGCGCAGAAATATTAACTAGATAGTGACATACAATTATTTATTTGAGCCCATCAACAAATTACAAGTGGCTAGGTCTCTCCCATCAAAATTTCGTGACGTCACACGCCTATAAAACAATGTAAATGGCGAATAAAACAACTCTACATAGCATTATTTATCTTTTATTTAGCGTTAACTTTTAAATAAAAAAAAATGTAACTTGTTACATTATAAGCACAAGCACAATATCACTGGGGCTCGTCAGTCAATAGAGAAAAGTCGAAGGCGTAGAGGGAAGGTATCGATTGAACGTGTAATTCTTAAGTGATATCTAAAGGCGTAACCGGCGGGACGACACAGCCCCCCCATTGCGCTCCTCATCCTGTGATCGAACATTTTTATTGGTCCCATCAAAATCCAGCTACGCCCGAATACAACTTTCTACCAAGATAAAAGTTATCTTACAATAATAACGCATACATGCAACTCCTAAGGCCGTCTCCGTGATACAATGGTTAAATGCTCGGCAATGAAAATAAACAATATATATATATATAAAAATTCGATGAAACGGTCAGAACTCAAACCCACCATCACTGACTGTTCCTCATACTGAGTTTTAGAACTATCTTGAAACTGATCATGTACAATAATGGTCCTGGCTTCAAGTCTAAGACTTAGACATTAACAGCGACACAGCTACAGTCTGAGCAACGAATTTCTTTAGAATTACTGAAATGATTACCTATATATCCGATGAAAATAAAATATCGTATAATGTCTTCAACAGTGAAAAGCCATTATTATTGTGTCTTTTAATAGCATGGGTGAGGTACATTCAAACCTGTCAAAACCCTTTTAGGTAGCTATATTTATGCAAACTCTTCAACAGACCAATGGTTGAGTTGGGTATCCGAAACCTTCATATAAAATTAATAAACACTTTATACCGTTATCGAAATAACGGTTTTAAAGTTGTAATTTATATGCGTTATCATTCCAAGTTTAGAATCTTAAAAGTACATAGAAATAGAAGAATTGATTAAGGTCTACAAGATCTTAAAGCTATAATAATTAGATTATTTCGTAAATGGCAAACAAAATCTCAAAAATTCAACAATAACATGTAATATCACCAATAATATTGACTAGAATCTTAATAAATCTAAATAAAACCATTGTTTTATAACAACCATAAATGCAAAATATTAACTCTGATCGGTCACTTTGAGAAAAAATCTTATATACTATCATTTGTATTATAGGTTAAAATTTGAATAATTCAAAGTGTTACCATATAAAAATGTGTAAGAACATCTTGTATTAAACTGCGCAATAAATTGGAAAATATTCCCTTAATTTATGATAAATTTTATAAACATGAATATCTGGTTAAAATCTAAATAAATTTGTACATTGAAGGTATTTGGCTATTAAATATTGTTTGATTTAAAAGCTTTAGAATAGAACGTGCTCATTAAGCTCAAGTTATGAGTAATTGATTACGTAATACATTAATTTGGTACATTATTAAAATTCAAGATTTATAACGCTAAGGGTGCTAAGGAAGGATAAAAAGAGTGTATAAAAGTTAATACAAAATTATTAAATAGAGATAAGAACGAACTACAAGCATGCGAACTCAAAAAGTCCAATTCATTGAGACTCCATCTTTGGCATTGAAAATAATGTTGGTTATCCAGTATCATTAACCAACTGAAGAATTGGAGTTTTAAGAAATCGCATACTTGTAGACCGGACTCGAACAACATACAAAAGCTACACGCGATATCAATATACACGACGAATTACTTAATATTATCCTTCATAGAAGACAATAATCATGACGAAGAAAACGCTTTTATAATATATCCAGTTACTGTTTATTCGTTTAAGCACTAGCGTCGAATAAATCCTTTACGCATTAAAATTGGGGCGATCGATAAACATTTGTAGGTGGTAACATTTTTTAAAGCGCAATTATTTAATTACAGTTAAACTGCCGCCGGTGGCATGGCTTACATATTATTTATTCACACGCAAAGTGATAAATATCAAAAATTACCAGCGACACGAAACATCGATGCAAGCGAAGTACTTTACTTCACTGCTCAAATGTTATTTTATTTAATAAACGATAAAGATCACCGATATACATTTTCTAAATGTATAATGTAAACATTATAAGCAAGGCCTTGTATATAGTTTTGTATGTTATGTCTAGCTTTAACGACTAGCCATATATGCGACACATTTTCTTTCTTACGGGAGAGAAAATAACAGGCCAAATGATTTGAAAATTATTCATTATGATAAGTTATAAATACTGAAACACTAAACTGAATAAACACTTGTATAGTAACAAATATATGAATGTGTATTCCTTATTTTTTAACGCTACATAATTAGTCCTGTATAAAAGTTTAACTGTGAGTTTGTGCGCAAAATCTCGTAGTGTGTTTTTTTGTGGTGCTATCAACATTTTATAGTTTCATTATTTTAAAATCAAAGAATACGCGTAATTATACACACGACTACTATGCTGTATACATTTAAAATTATACTTCACAAAAACATAACGGAGATTAAATTAAACATAATCAACCAAAAAGGTTTTAAACAACAATTTGAGTTAGCACAATTTCGCCTATCTAACAATGTCATTACTTTTCTATCTTATAGAACCGTTTAACAAATTCTGTGAGATTAAAAACTTGCCCAGGACCCGACTCAGCCTCCATGTTAATGTACTCATCTAAATTATGAGTTGAAGCTGAAAGGAAACATGATGCAAATATGTATATATTGCTTTTTTCTGCCCTACAAGAAAGACCTAATACATAAATCAATCAAGGATACATACCAACTGTGGAAATTGCAGGATATGGTGGAGGAGGTTTAATCCAAGAACCATCAGGTCTTTTCATATGACGTCTATCAGATGAGAAATGTTGTAGAAAGTATTTCGCTGGAACAACTCTGAAGAATCTAAAACAAAAAATTTAAGTTTTTAATGTTTCATTATCAAATTAAAAATTAATATTGTTTAATTATTTCAACTACAATCTCAAATTTTGGATGCTATGGTGACAAACTATTAAACCCACTAGTGGTCTGGTGGGCTTGACTGAAAATATTGTCTAACCAAATTGGGTAAATTTTTAATATATATGTAACAAATATATATATATGATCATCTTTTAAAAATTTCATTCATACCTGTGAAAATCAGATTTCAAAACTTGATCTGTGCGAAATGTTTCTGTAACGTATTTATGGAAGAATGTTGGAAATGGAAGCTCCGAGTCTAGATCATACACCAAACAGGATTTCAAATCAATTGAATACAAGAATATTACGTGATAATCCTGCAAAAAATTTTCAGTTAAACAAACTGTTAGTAAAAAGAGTAATTTACATATTAAAATGTAACCAAATATCAATATTTCTAAGTATATTTATAAAGCTTTCTCAATACACACCTACTGCTTTTTCACTAGTAACAATAATGAAAAAATGTGCAAAGAAATTACTGCATTTTAGTACTAGACTCAATATATATTTTTTAAATTATGATACACAAAACGAATAACATGAAGTATTTATTATTATATCAATGGCATTTAGAAGCAATAAGGTATATCGTTTTTTATACGAAAAACTAAACACACCCATATAACCAGGCGATCTTCTTCGCGCCCCGCTCTTTGTTTCCACAAAGGCACAGTGCGACAAGGATTGGATATGAATACAACATAACATCGGTCCAATTCTTCTGGAACTCGTAAAGAAACATCTTGACAGAGTTTCCAGACATTTTCCTCACTGCAATGCCGCAACAACACGAAACGTATTTAAAACAAGCATCAAATATAATAAAAATAACTATAACGTTAATAAATTATTAATTACACTTACCAGTAGCAAGACACATAAGAGCACTCTGCTTGTTTAGAAAATAATGGTTTCAAAATCTTATCATTTTTCTTTGTATCAATATTAGCATGCTGCACCTGGCTGACCGACATTTTCAATTCTGTATTATTATTTTTTGTCACCTTGGGAGTTGCACATTTATGATACATTGTCATTTGGACCGAGAAGTTTTCTATGCGTCAAGTCAATTGTCATACTCCTGTTTTTTTTTACGTCAATAGAAAATACGCTTCGTTTAACACCGATTTTAAAAGAAATTATACAAAAATTAATTAGAAATATATTTATTTATTTAAGTATTTGCCTTATACATAGTAGGAAAATTTATTTACATTATTGGTACAATACCACAGTTTACCGATTAAAACATTGACTAACATTCGAACGTCACTATTTTTAACTAATATGGCCAGCTGGTAACGTGAAATTGGTGAATTAAATGAAGATTGGGATTTTATTATAGCAGCGTTGCTCTCTTTTAGTTGTCTTGAAATTTATTTTTATATTGGAAAAAAGGAGGGCGGTGCGTTGTCCTAGGTTTCGGCCGGACTAGCGTATCGTCCGATTTTCGCTCCTAGAATTGTAAACTTCAATAGTTCTATTGAGAAATTTGTGGACAGGGATCTAAACCACGATGACCCGTAAGTGATCAATGATTTAAGTTCTACTCATAATATTTACATTAAAACAATAACTTTCAGTTAGTCGACGAATTATTTTGTTGCATCAATAATAGACTAAGAAAGTTCTAGAAAACAAAATTCATGTTGTGTAGGCATATGACAATAATATTAAATGCTTATGTTAGTTACTAGAGAACACATATTTATGACACCTTATGCTAATCGATTATATCCACTGCAGATAGTTTGTTGATATTTGATTGTTGTTGTTTACACTTAATGCCACGATGCGTCACATTAAAAATAATAGCACGAATAGGTATATATACTTTAGATTATGTAATATCGTTAATTAAATTTTGTAACTATAGATCTCCTATAATTTAATTCACTTTTAAAAGATTGTAAATGTTTTTGTTGTAAGCATAACCTCAATAATCAATTTAATCTTGCAGGAGGTAACCAGCGAGATTTGGCCCGTGCGAAAAATCAAAAAAAGCAGCAAGAAAATAATAAGAAAAAAAATGCTAGTGAGAAAACTGGCCTGTCCCTGAGTGAAAGAAAACATAGGTAGGATAAAATATAAAAATAATTTTTACACAAGTTAACTACTACATTACAAGTTAACTATTTTGACTTAATGGTTAACAATACACTAGGTATGTAATAATTATATATTGTACTAATGCTACTTTCCTTTTTCTTCTGAGTAAGAATATTAATATCCAGAAACAATTTACATTAATTTGGTAATACTTAAAACTAGAGCACCATCCATACAAGCTTTTGATTTTTCCTTTAGAATTGTGGAATATTTTATAGGTAAAAGTTTTGTCTTTAATCATAAGTGGGTCAGTATTTTGTACCAAGTTTTATTGAACACAATAATTTTATTCATCTTTTAAGCAGGATTAATATCGATTAAATTTTTATAGGGATGCCGAATTAATGAGAGAAAAACAACGAAGAAAAGAGGAACAAGAAGCGGCTCAAAAGCAACCAATTAAATAAAACAGTTATTTTCATAATCACATTTTGACTGCTGTGTTAATGATGGTTAATATAAATTTCGGTGGCTAACTGAAAATTAACCGAGTGATAAATAAAGCAATGAGGTTTAGTTAATCTCAGTTTCAGTTTGCCCGTTGTATAATAATTAATTCCAGTATTGCCTTCTCGATTGAGTATTTGAAATTATCAAATAAGTCATGGAAAGATTTTTAGCATTTATAAAGTCTTTATGTTGACTGAATACTGAATAGATTTGTATGTACTAACAAACCCACTTTGTATAATAAAAATTTTAAAAACTATGTTTTTTATTCTTTTAACATATCTATGGTTGATAAATAGAGTTATATATGTATTTATTAATTTAAATGGTTTGTAGGTAATATTTGTACAATTTAGTGTTACAAAAAACTCTTTCAAGTATTCTTAGGTACATATTTTAAGAAAACAGAATCATTCTTATCAAACTAGACATCTTTTTTACATTCTGGTATCAATGAAATAGCTTGTATGTGCGTATATTTTGTAATGTCAGCATATTAGGATACATCACGTTTTATAAAGTATGACAAGACATTAACGTGTTATTTAAATATTTTGTTATCAATAATCAATGTTTATGTTAAGGGACATTGAACAGAAGTAAAATTATATAAATTGAATGTAGGGAAGAGTTACATTACCACTAATACAGAGATTCCATTCTATCATTTAAAGTTTAAAATAACAACTAACTTTGGTAACACTTAGCTAGGTCAATTAAACCTTAAGGTGAATTCAGATTATTCTCGTCGAAGCTTTTAGAATTTACAAATAATAATAAACTTAAGAAGTACTTAAATAAAAAAAACATAACATAAAACCTATATTATTTTAATATGAACATTTTCTAGGAACCATAAGCGGTAACTTAAAAAATTAAACAAAATACACTTTGTGTATCAAAATAAATTCAAATTATAAAATATGCCTTTCTAGCAAATATGTAAAATAGCCATTGCGTAATATTCATATTGATTGCTTATTCATGGAATTTTAGGTTTTATTCCAGTATAATTCAATAACATGTGTCAGTCCTATTGCAACATAACATTATACATTTATAAAAACAATTACATAATACTGTTTGTTTAAATTTGTACTGTAATTTTTCATATATAAAAACCAAAATCAAAGATTATTATTTTAATACATATAGACATAACATTATGTCGATGAAAATGTTATGTTATGATGTCATAACATATGTTCTTGCTATATTTTTGTAACCATTGACATTGTATACATACTATGAACCCATCAGATATGCTATGAAATTAATGTACATTACATATCAAATTAAGATTTTCAAATATTACAAAGCTAATATTTCATTCTAGTTTAAGCACTGGAAGTTTGAACTAATGTTTTCTTCTCAAATTCTTCTCTTTGCCTATACAGTTCTTTAACCAAATCTTGAATGAATGGATGGTCAAATTTGCCATATGTTCCTGTGAAGAACTCTTCCAAGAGTTTGGGAGAGTTCTCCCTTTTTTCATATTCAAATGCTTGAAGAATCATATCATACCTATCCAGATCTTTTGCAAACTTAGCTTCTGGTGAACTTTGATTTTCATATTCCTAAAGCAGAAAAATTATAATTAATAGTACATTTACATAAAATAACAAATCTTATGAAGTGATGTGTTTCTCTAACAAAAAGAATTATATATTTTTATAACATAGACTTTCAATATATGTTTCTACATAGTTTGAATATTGCCCCGACTGGTCTATTTCATAGTCTCATTGATGTTGCTCAAGCAAATCATCAATTGGCATATATGAATCTGTTTACAGAGGCAGTTTCACTTACCATATACAAGTCAAACATTTTATCACCCGCTATTCCAGTAAGCTCTGCAATTTTTTTCATAGCCTCTGCTTCTCTTCTGTGTTTTTCATCAGGTGGTACACCGCAATGGGGAGTAAGGTCACCGACAATACATTCTGCTAAATCATGGACTAACGCTGAAAAACATTTATAGTTAAATCCATTACATTTATAACATTATATGGATTATGACTTTCTTAGCCACAAGAAAACCTAGAAAGTAATTAAAACAATATGCATGTTTTTCTCTACGAAACTCTTGGTAGCTCAACATACAATGAGCTCAGCATAATATGACTATATAGAGGCAAATGTTCTCACCGATCTGTAAACATCTAAAACGGTCAAGTTTAGTAGGGTTATTTTCATCAGTTAAAAGAAATGTCATAAGTCCCATTCTATACATATGTCCAGCTATTGTTTCACAGTCATTAATATCACAGATAACCCAACCAGTCCGCTTGATGTGCTGAAATGGGTAAAGAAATGTATAGGTTATTTAGGAAATAAGAGTTAAATATCATGTTAATAAGTTATATATAGATTACAATTTTAATTTTAATAACCATGTCAGTCATCAAACATAAGAATTTTATTACCTTTAAACGACCAACAAGCTCGAGAAATTCAAGAATTTTTGAATGCTCCACCAAGGCCATATTCAAAACTATTTTATATATTATGTTACGTTAGCTAGAATAATAATTTTCCTAGCGGTAAAACTGTATTGTTAAGACACAAGTGAGCAGAAATATTTAAATGTCCTATTTATCACATACACAATAATAAAGTGACTTGTAGCATGTATGCGCGCGACACTTAACTCTGCATAACTAACAGCTAACGTCAATATCAATATTCAATTATCAATTAGGTAATATAAAACAATTGATTAACTTTCATATTCTTATGACGTTGATTCAATTTGTTTCCAAAATTGACAATTAACATTTTATTAAAGTCAATATGAATAGCTTATTGCTTGAATATTGACGTGAAATAAAATAGTATATATTTAAATAAAACACTTTAACGATTTAAAACGCGATATATTAGTTAAACTTATTTGAAAATGATTTTTAACTTCGGCCCGACGTTTCGGATGCTTTGCAGCAGCCGTGGTCACGGCGGCTGCAAAGCGTCCGATTCGTGTGTGAAGTGTTTTGTTTTAATGTGTACTACTTGCGTAAACTATCTAGTTATCTAAATACTGAAATTATACTAATAAAAGTTTACAAATAGTGAAATAGTCACATATGCTAAAAATAATAATTGATTTAATTTAAAGTCCGTAAATAAAAATAAGTATTGTTAAACTTTTGTCACAGGACAAAATGCTCCTTTTTTATTTTGGTCGGTCGGGTTTGTGACGTCACATGCCTATAAAACACAGTACTGCCTAGTGTTAAAATTATTATATTATTATTCTCTACATTTACATCGTAAGTTTTCTTTTGCAATCAAAAATATATTTGTAATATAATAAAAATTCTGTCGAATACCCATGGATGAATGATGATTCTGTAAAAGCTAACAGCAGAAATCTGCCCCAAATCGATGTAATAATAATCGGACTATCGTTCAATAATAAATTAGGTGTTTTTAATTTTAACTCGTAATAGTTATGTCCGAATGATACAGAAAAATCTATCTAATAGATTTTCTAATTACCTAAGTTAACAATTACTATTCTTAAATTTTTTTGGGAATAATTTACTTTATTTAAATCAGAGGACTGTGGTACCTCAATTTTTAACTAATATTAATGCGTATGCTCTGTTATGAACATTAGAAGACAACCTCTAGTCAACAATATATTAACGTTTTGAATAAAATAAATTATGAAACAATTTTACGTTTATCGAAGATAAATAGACAAATACATAGACATAGATTTCAAAGAAAAAATATTTGTAATATCATTATGATCCCCCCCGAGATAGTTGCAGCTACATTCGGCACATTTGCATTTCTTTGGAAAAGTCACAAATAGTTCCCAGAGATCTTATCTATGTATTTGCACATTGTGCAAGTGCACACAGTTGTGCACTTTCTTATTACTTCAATTACTGTTAAAATGTTTCTTACGAATGCAAGTAAATCATGTTCGGCACGGGCATACGCCAACATAAGCGCTATGACGCAATATGACGTCACCACCCCTTTTCAAAAATTTGCATTTAGGCGCGCAATTTAAACGTTGAATTATTATTTTCATATTTTTCAGGAAACACTTACCAGAAATACTGCTTTTCCGGAGTTCTTTAACACCTACCAAATAATATACCTAAAATAAATTTTAAAACTTTAAGTAAAATAGCCCGTTTTAAAAATTTTAATTTGTCACACGTCATAAAATCACGACGACTTCCTTGATCAAGATGCACATTTGAAGATGGATTTTTTTAACTAGTTCAGTTTGTAAGAACGCAAATATGATCTTGAAAACAGCGATTATTTTACATAGGTAAGGAAATAAACCAAAAAAAAAAAAGAAATTTGATCTAGTCTAAATACAATACAATACTTTTGCTTTCATTATTACGTATTTAAACTAATTTACAAGTCTCTTTAAAAATTTTCATCGAACCTCACAAAGACCCCGCCCAAATGGTTCCATTGTAGCTGACAGCAGGTTCAGAAAGCTATTAATGAGGTCTCCTTGATTATTATGATCAATGGGCGAGCTAGCTGTGCGTTCTATGAATCGTAATGATCCACCGACCACCGTATACCGCTAAGCAAATTTAAATTCTCCACCGTGCTGTCAGTGAAAATGTGGGAGTTCTTACCGTTGGTTCACCACTTAGTTTTACATCCAAAACTGTAGTTTTATTCGCGTTTATAGTCCTAGTAATTTAGTTGAAAATTAGTACCAATATTTGTGTGTTATTATGTCATTGAGGGGCTATCGGGATGTTTTTATTAGTGTGTTTAATTTGTACAGGTTTGTACATCATAAATAGATAAGTAATTTATTATTTGCAAGTAATAAGAACTTGAAGTCTTGGAAATTTTAATGTGGGCTTAATACAGACATAGTTCAGCCATTTGTTTACAGATCGTGGGCACGCGGTCTGTTAGGTTCTATATAAGGAATGCTAATGAGTTTTTCAATAGTTTTCATACCAAATTTGCAAAGCAATGTAACAGTTATGTAACGCAATACGTTAAATCGATATAATTTTAAAATCGAATAATTCAAATTAATAACATTTGACATGTGTATTTACAATAGGCGATATATCACATTTTACAATGACAGGAAATTAGTGTAGGTATATAATCAATAATTGTTTATCGTTCGGGAGACCTCTAAACCTTTTAACTTTATTAAGGGAATAATTTAGACTAAGGACTGATGGTTCCAGATAAAATGGGTCGGCAATCTATTTAATTAAACTTGTAATTATGCTATAAATTGTAAACGGAACATAGCTTAGCCTTGTTACACGAATAGAATATTATTATAAATTTGGCTTAATTTAGAGTTTAAATAATTATGTCTCTTCTAGATTATATTACACTTTGTTAATTTAAGTGCTTGTCATTCAAATGGTCGATGGTGGCGGAATACCTATGCAGTAAAAGAAAGTGACTTGCGTTTCTGCTATTCGCTTGGTTAACTTAAAAGAAAAGATTTACGTAATAAATGATTGAAGTATTGACAATTACAAAATAATAGCCTAAGATCAGAAAAAAATGTGGCGCTGTTAACTAAATTATTCTTACATTTTTTTATCTCCTTGTTAGACAATTTCTTTATTTATTGCACAAAAAGCGGTTTAAGGTGATAATAAATAATCATCTTAACCTACATTTTGACAGGATCTTTGGTGTCATGGTAAAATGTATAGATAAATAGTATATACACCTAACAAAATGATGGTCTCGCTGGTTGCCAATATTCAACGGGTTTGATCCTCACCGGGTCCAATATTTTTTTTATCGATTTATAATTCTTCTGAAACATATTTTGTCTGGAAATCCAGATAGATAATAAATGGATGGTAGCAATATCCACATTTCTGTCCGGATTACGAACCGTTGTCCACAGATGAAAAACTGGGATATTTTACCTAACATCAAGTGAACCAAGTTGGTCTGTTCTCCTCTATCATATAAAAATTACAAATTGTTATGTTACCTCAGTTAAAGTTACATGTTGTTTACAATTGATTACAGTACTTATGGTTTTCTAGTTACGGCGATAGAGTGGGAAGCACCGTCGCCGTATGACCCAGTGTGGTTTGCGAGTCTCCAGACCCATGCGGCTGTACCGCCTTTAAACGAGACCCGAACATGGTGGGGTTGGGTCAACGACCAAGATGTGATGTTTAGATTATTTACAAGGTAATGTAAACGTCCTTATTGAAGATTATGTGTAATAGTATAAATCTACATCTAGATGCGCTAGAGGTGCATTAATCAATGGGGTGAAAAAATTTTTATTTTTTTTAATTTTTTTTTTTTTTTTAAAAAAAAAAAAAAAAAAAAAAAAAACCTTCTTTTTGTTTAACCCAACCGGGGTTTTTTTTTATAAATATTTTTTAAAAAAAAACCTTAAAAAAACCCCCGCCACCTTCCCGGCCATCTAACAGCATGTCGTGGGTATTACTGTCCAAGTCGTTCAAGTACAGAGGTAACATGTACTGCCGACGATGACGTGTAAGACGATCGATTTTAAAATTAATATAAATCTAATTAATGTTACCCTAAAAGCGATCTTAAATAAAAAACTTTTAACGGTTAAACATTAATAAGCGAAATATAGAGCAGCTTTGAAAAGTATCCGTAACGTGGGGCCGTAGTAACGATAAGTTGTTAAAGATAATTTAACAAATATATTTCACGTTTTAAACCGTTAAAACTGTTGTATTAAAATGTGTACTACTAGCGTAAACTACAAACAGTAGGCACTTTATTTCATTATGAATGAATACCAAATTTACAACATCTATTCGCAGACGAAATCCTTACGAGTACCAAATGCTTAAAATAAATGATTCATCATCGTTACGCAATTCGAATTTTAATTTCGAAAACAAGGTGAAAGTCCTCACTCATGGCTGGCTGAACCATGGTGACAGTCCTATGCCAGAATCCATCAAGGAAGGTAACTAATTCTTATAAAAAAAATAATCAATTAAATGATTTTTGACACGAACAACAGGGATGTTGAATACTCTTGAGAAAGTATTTTTTTTAAGTTATATTATTAAACCCCCAAATCATCATTACTTTAAAATCGTCCTGGGTTCGCATCCCGGGGAAAATAGATTATTTCGGTTAGGCAGGAACTGAAGTCAACTACTCCGATCTAAAAACCGATTAGTGAAACGGACACAAGTGTGTTCGGGCATTTCCAAGGGTTAATTTGTTTTCACACTTCATACATATTATTTTTAAGATAGACGGAGATAGACATACAATCTCTTGATGGTATGTAAATACGCCATCCCTATACATCTAAACAAGATGCGATGTCCACCTATTTTGACTTTGGATATTCGGAAATCCATTGCACAGAATTCACCGAAACGGCTTCTTCACCTGTGGACGGTGGGGCGTGACCCGGACGAAATTGAGATATTACCACCTTTTGTAATATCCAGATATTACAAGTTGAAGCCAGTTTCATGAAAAAATATATGAATTAATTAGAAACATATCGGGCCCGGTGGGGATCGAATAGCCATACATTCATTAGACCTTAACGAGTCCGATTTGATTACTGTGTCCTTTCACTGTCAATATTGTTTTCAGCCTATTTAAATGTTAGTGATATAAATATAATAGTAGTGGATTGGGGAAATGCAGCTAATGTGAATTATATCCTAGCGAGTTACAACGTCGCGATGGTCGGCCGCGTCCTAACTCAGTTCCTAAATTTTCTTATAAATGAAGGCGTGTCCATGGATGATGTACACCTCATTGGACATAGTCTAGGAGCTCACGTCGTTGGTATTGCTGGAGCGTACGTGAAGCAAGGGCCAATAGACACGATTACAGGTATGACATATGTGTATATGGGTTGAAAATTCGACGATGGCGTTTAGGACTTGGTAGCTCAGTTGGTAAGAGCAACAGCAATGAACGCAGTGGAGGCCGGTTCAAGTCCTGCCGGAGTCGTAAGATCATCATGTGCAAAATATTAAAGTTCAAAGTGATTATAATTTAAATCGAGACCCATTACAATACTGTAAAGCATAGGTTTTTTGTTTGATTATTTCTACGCGCTATCTTCACACTTAGAAACTACTGGTCTGAATTGTAATATATTGTTGTAGTGGTTAGAGCATTTATCAAGGAAGGTTTACGGCTATGAAAAGTCCCGCTGCAGACAATAGGAATGTGGAACGAACGAGGGAAATTATTCAACTTTGAGAATATATAAAAATATGTAGGAAAGAATAATTCCTCTTTAAACGATTAAAAAAATGTCCGCGACATATATATTTATAAAACTGAGAAGGTTGTTTCCAAAAATTAATAATATCGGGCCCAAAATAACTATTCTACGCAGATGAACTCGCGGGCACAGCTAGTAATAAATAAATCTACTTTTTACAGGACTCGATCCAGCATTGCCGCTCTTCACAGTAGGGAATAAGGACGCGAGGCTTGACAAACATGATGCAAAGCATGTGGAGGTGATACACACATGCGGAGGTTATCTTGGCTTCGCATCACCTCTTGGGCATATTGACTTCTATCCTAACGGTGGAACACGACAGCCTGGCTGTGGGTTCGATTATAGAGGTAATTGTTTTCTTATGGCAGAGGACTTAACTTAAAGTTTATGCGAGTAGAACATATTTAATTCAAAACACGTTTAACGATTTTAAATGCGAAATGTATTGCAGCAGACAGAAACTACTCACGTAAACTGCAGATAGTAGTGCTGACCCATCGTCATGAATCTTCAAGAAGAGAGCGTACTCCTTTTAAAATGGCCGGCAACGCATCTCCGAAATGGTCTTGCATATATTCATTGGCGGTGGAACTCAATTTTTATGCGCGGCTTGACCCCGTTTGTCCAGTATTGCATAAAACGATAGTACTTATAGTGAAATACTCCAGCCATCTAAACAAGATGCACTGTCGACTTAATTTGACTTCGGTTATTTCTACACTGAACCTAATCCCTATATTAGTATAGTGTTGCCGTCTCTTCCTATAACTTGCCTTAGGTATGTTAAATAATTCCCCCCCCCCCCCCCCCCCCCCCCCCCCCCCCCCCCCCCCCCCCCCCCCCCCCCCCCCCCCCCCCCCCCCCCCCCCCAAAAAAACCCCCCCCCCCCCCCCCCCCCCCCCCCCCCCCCCCCCCCCCCCCCCCCCCCCCCCCCCCCCCCCCCCCCCCCCCCCCCCCCCCCCCCCCCCCCCCCCCCCCCCCCCCCCCCCCCCCCCCCCCCCCCCCCCCCCCCCCCCCCCCCCCCCCCCCCCCCCCCCCCCCCCCCCCCCCCCCCCCCCCCCCCCCCCCCCCCCCAACCCCCACCCACCCCAAAACAAAACACCCCCCCCCCCCCCCCCCCCCCCCCCCCCCCCCCCCCCCCCCCCCCCCCCCCCCCCCCCCCCCCCCCCCCCCCCCCCCCCCCCCCCCCCCCCCCCCCCCCCCCCCCCCCCCCCCCCCCCCCCCCCCCCCCCCCCCCCCCCCCCCCCCCCCCCCCCCCCCCCCCCCCCCCCCCCCCCCCCCCCCCCCCCCCCCCCCCCCCCCCCCCCCCCCCCCCCCCCCCCCCCCCCCCCCCCCCCCCCCCCCCCCCCCCCCCCCCCCCCCCCCCCCCCCCCCCCCCCCCCCCCCCCCCCCCCCCCCCCCCCCCCCCCCCCCCCCCCCCCCCCCCCCCCCCCCCCCCCCCCCCCCCCCCCCCCCCCCCCCCCCCCCCCCCCCCCCCCCCCCCCCCCCCCCCCCCCCCCCCCCCCCCCCCCCCCCCCCCCCCCCCCCCCCCCCCCCCCCCCCCCCCCCCCCCCCCCCCCCCCCCCCCCCCCCCCCCCCCCCCCGGGGGGCCCCAAACCCCCCAAAAACCCCCCCCCCCCCCCCCCCCCCCCCCCCCCCCCCCCCCCCCCCCCCGGGCCCGGGGAAGCCCCAAAAACACACCCCCCCCCCCAAGGGGGGGGCGGAAGGAAAAAAAAAAAAAAAAAAAAAAAAAAGGAAAGAAAAAAAACACGAGATTCGTGATGTCTGCTGTAGACGCAAAGAAGTATTAAATTTATGACTAGGGCGGGACTTGAAGCCGCGATAGGTCGATATCTCATGTATAAAAATATTTCCAAAAAGTCGGACGTTCACGGATTTCGTTACACTATAAAATAAATTGTTCTTACAAATTTTCTATAACTTTTTGTCCAAAAAATTAAAATAAAGCTTAGCTCGTTATATGTAGATTTAAGAAAGATTATTTTTAAAATCTGAACGTCAATAAATACTGTAATCTTTTACCCCAGCAAGAGTTATATAATATCAAATGAATTTTATTAAAGCTTACTTTTTCCCGTTTATTTAGGATCGGCAATCCTTTTATTGAACACAAGGAAATCCTAAATTATAGCTATAACATTATGTCCTGCAATAATGTAATTCCCTTTACTTTGTCCCGAAAATACAACGCTATTTCTTTTCTCTTATACATATTTATAAGCACTCAAAGTTTGAAAGATATCGGAGCAAAGAGGCAGCTTATTTTACTCAAAGGCGCGTTTTATTTTTTAAAAATAATAAAGATTGCATTCAGAGAAATATTAAACTTGTCGAGAGGTCGTTAATAGCCTGTTGGTACTCTGCGTGGGGCTATAATTACCGACATTTTTAAACAACTATTAAACAATTTCTTTATAATTTTTCTCATTCTTGGAAGTTCTGTGAACGATGAACGCTTGAAATTAAGTACATATTATTAAGAAAGTTTATAGTTCCGCCCAGCTCAATTTTACCATTATATTACAACGTTGGTATATAATATAATGTTATACACGTCTGTATAGGGACTATACAAATACATCTTTACTAACATATAAAACTAAAGAGTTTGTTTGTTTGTTGAACGTGCTAATCTCAGGAACTACGTCGTTGAAAATTTTTTTTCGGTTGGTTGTTCATTTATCTAGGAAGGCTATAGTCTAAGTCGTCCTGTGACTAACAGGAGCGAAGATACAGCGATAAATAACAAACATTGGGAAAATTATTCATCATATAGGTTTCCAAGGCGTACGCTGCATAAACTGTTCAAGATAACCAAAAAATATGTATGAGAGAATGATTCGTCTTTGAATTATCTAAAAAAATCTGGAACGCTATATGTCTATCTTTTAAGATTATCTTCTAAGAACGGTGGGAAGGGACGCGACCGACGTCGTGGGTAACAGCTTACGTTTATAAAGATTTGCAATACGAATTTGAATGCCGAACATAACGATTCTCGTGGACGAAGTCGCTGACACAGCTAGCTACATACAATCTTTTTCAGATTCTATTTCCGTAAAGTCTAGAAGATTCTGTAGTTCAACATTTTGAATAAATAAAATTAAATTTTCTCCTAAGATTTATCTTTAACGAACAGATAAACAAATGATTTTGGATATTCGAAAATCTATAGACTGAAACCGAAGCGCGAATAAATTTGACAGCTTTTTTATCTATTGACGATGGTTCGTGCTCCAGCCGAGATTTCGATTTTCCTACCATCCATTTAATATGCAGATTTTCAGACTATGTCCAGCATGTTTCAGAAAAAATATTAATTGATTAGAAAAATATTTGCCCCGATGGAAGATCGAACCCACGACCAGTTAACTAGACACACTTTGTATTACACCGACGAACTCAAACATATTTTAAAAAATAATTCGATTATTGTATTGTATTCTAGGCCTCTGCGCCCACAATAGAGCGCATATGTTCTTTGCGGAGTCCATAATATCGGACGGAGCATTTACCGCAGTGCGATGCCGGGACTACGACGAGCTGTATTACCAGGGATCGTGCAAGGGCACCGGGGAAACGCTCGTCATGGGCGGGTTCAATATTCATTACGGGTAAGTTTAATTAATTAACATTAGTAAATTAAAACCGATGTCACGAATCGGAAACGGGATTTACTTTTTTCGTAAAGTAAGGATTGTGTTCTACTTTGCGTATTAGTGTGTGTTTGCGTGTCTGTGTGTAAAGAAAAAATGAGAAATTCTGTAACGCTAGAAACAATTGGGATTTTACGCTACACGTTTCAAATTTGATAGATATGAAACATTTTAAACAGAAAAACTAATTATTTCAATTACCAAAGAGACAAAACAACTTTAAACAGGTAGTTAAGTGAAATAGAAACAGTGTGAATAAAAATAACATAAATATTTTATTGAATTTACATTTTATAAATCTATTTTTAAAAATATATTAAAAAAAATTTATTACTCGAGCAGGACTTGAACCGGCATCGTCAGCGTTCCGCGCTAGTGCTTTAACCGACCAAAAAGGACTCGGTCGCTCGATTGGTTAAAGATTAGATTAGATATTTAAAATACATTTTACATATATGTCACTTTAATAAAAAAAATAGTATTTAGTTAGTAGTGTATTTTATTTAATTAGTAGTATAAATTCCTTGAAATCATTGGATAATATATATTTTTGCATAGTTAATTAAGCCAGACATAATAAATACATAAAATATATTAAAAGGCATCTTGGTGCAATTTCTTCGTCGTAATTTTCGCAAAAACAAACGTACCCGCGCTCAGAAACCCGCAAGCTCAACATTTCCATTAGCAGACGCAAATAAAGTGATTTTAACTACTCATAAACATTTACCTACCGTTGTTCCGCGCTTTGTTTAATAAAGAACGCCACGATTGTACGGCTCCAAATTAATGTACACATAAACAACACAAGTTGCTGTTTAAGACCAACCTAACGATGGTCCTTGTAATAAAACTGCTTTAAGGAGTTCTCTTAAATGTTTATAGATTGTATTTTATTAGAAAATAGTCGCTTTCGTCTTTTCACATTTGGGGCAAAGATCTACCTTATCAGAACGACGCGTTGGTCTAATGGTGACAATGCATGGCTTTTAATTAATCGGTCGTGGGTTCGGTCCCCACCTGGTTCAATATATTGCAATTTTTTCTAGAACATAATTTTTATGATACAGGAGGACAGGCAAGCTTAGGGTTCGCTTGATGGTAGATCAAATAGCCCAAGCCTTATAAAATCTAAGCAGTGCACTGGCGACCTATTTTGGCTTCCGATATATGCAATTGTTAGACTGGAAATCTGGATATTAAATATGTAGGAATATCGAAATTCCGTCCAGGTCACGAACTACCGTCCACAGATGATAAAACCGTGAAGTAATCGCGTTTTGGTTTCAACTTTCAGATTTCCAATTACAAAACTAAAATAGGGCGACAGTGCATTTAGTTTGGATTTTATATAGCTGCGGTATTTCACCTTCTATCAAAACAAGCAATGATAGGGGAAAATATTTCTATACCTATCTTTAAATAAATTAAGTTAATCTAGTATGACATAACACGAACTAATTTATGTCGTCTCACGCCATTTTAACCAGAGGTGAATACACGGTCCCTTATAAAGTTACGTTGTACGAATATTGTGTATCGCTTTCTAATATAAAGCTGGAAAATAACATTGAATTTAAATAAAACACTCTTGACGGTTTAAAACGCGAAATAAATTAGTTAACTTATTTACGTTTTTTTAATTACGCCCTGACGTTTCGGATGCTTTGCAGCGGTCGTAGTTCCGGAGAGATACAAAGCATCCGAAACGTCGGGCCGCTGTAAAGATCGATTTAATAATTATATATTAATAAGTAATCAGTCATGTATATAAGCCAAATCCAATAAGGCAATTAGTATACGCATCGATATCATATTCCAAGTAACTTAATAATATTTATACAATAGGGATCAAGAGATGACGGTCTATATGTGTTTATATGTAAAATCCCGTGGGGCATGGGGCACATTTCTGTGTCCGTTTCACTAATCGGTACCTTTACAGACCAGTACATAATCAGACTTCTGTGCTCTACCCGACCGAAACACATTTAACCAATTAAAGCTACAAGGCGGTCACTATTCTGCTAACTAAAGTTTATTTAATTTTTCAGGAAAGACGGAATCTACTACCTGAAAACGAATTCGGAACCTCCCTACGCAATAAGCAACTCCATTTCCCGAATCCCAGTGTTGCCAACTTCGTAAATAAATTTTCCATCAACGCGATACAAGGTTAAATTTTTTATTCTGTAGCGACAGTAAATGGGTCGCGGGTCGACTTAATAATTTACGTGGCCTGCTTTCATTTAGATGATTAAACTTTCATCAGCTCTTAAATTGTACTAAAAATCACTCTTATTTGTAACTAAACACGCCACTGGTCTGACTCGGGTCCACGTTCCCCCCTTAGTAACCCCGTTGGGGAATTCTTTTCTGTAAACGAAACGCGCCTTTCACTAATATTATTAAATGATAACCAAGCAACATTTTGAAGAACACATACTTATTTATGATAGAAGAGAACAAACCTGGAAGACTGGACAAGTTCACTTGGTGATAGATGCGGTGATAGGTGATAAATACTCCGACCATATAAAATCTTCACAACGTACGCTTTTTCGATTTACTACGAATTTGGATATTCTTACTATTTAATATCTGGATTTCCAGAGGAAAATTTAACTAACATGTTTTAGATTATAAAGTGATTAAGAATGTTGGACCCGATTGGGATCGAAACTTTGACCCGTTGATTATTAGCCATACATCGCTGTCATTGCTGGTGTAATGGTGCAAGCCCGTCGAACTGGACTTAACCACTGTCTATAGTTTACGCGAGTAGTACACATTTAAATAAAACACTTTAACGGTTTAAAACGCGATATATTAGTTAAACTTATTTGAAAATGATTTTTTTAACTTTGGCCCCGACGTTTCGCATGCTTTGCAGCAGCCGTGGTCACGGTCACGTGGTCACATTTTCAAATAAGTTTAACTAATATATCGCGTCTTAAACCGTTAAAAGTGTTTTATTAAAATGGACTTCACTTATCGCAATTACCCTCTTTTTTAAAAAAAACCTTTCTTTTCAGCCTAAGAACACACTATTTAAGTTTCAAGTGTCTACGACCAGCATTGTACATTGCGTCGATCTACGATTCAGTGATTACAAAGTATTTTGTTTATTTCAACATCCATTTATTTTTATATTAAAGATTCAGGGTTAAGTGTTAAATTATTTTTAATAAATGTAAATTATTTATTTGAAAGCCTTTTACTTTTTCCCCGCTGTAAAAGTCAACAACTCGAACAAGACTGCTGTTTTGCATTGAATGAATGTTGCCAGGTCATAATACTAGAAAATGCTAGCGATAATTTTATTAATTTCGCGGTAAGATTTTTATAATAGGTACCAAATAATAGAGAACTTATGACATGTTCACAAGAAGCAGTCATATGTGTCTTTTTAAGACTGGAATTGAAGGAACCGATGTATTTGCATTTAACCACTAAACCATGGAGGCATTTTATATGCGTAAAAAATAAAATGAAAGCGCTTCCACCACCTGAGGGCCTAGCAAGCATAAAAACTTACCAAAAATAAAGTCACTTTGAATCTCATCTCTAGCTGCGTATATTGTCAGAATAGAAACTGCTACCGTATCGAATCTCTCAATTCCTTCGGTTCTAATCCTTCCAAAAGAAAACAAACGTTTCGTCCGGGAAAAGCACTGCTGATCCCATTTCCTTGTGACGAAAAGCTGATCTCTTATTCAGATAGAGTAAAATACTTGTAAAATATTAGGGGGTTTACGTTTAGTATACAATGTTTAAGTTTACAGCTTTAAAAATAATTATACTCGAACAAAAGTTTATTTTGTTTTGCTTTTTTTAAATTTCATTATAAAAAATAAAAGGAAAACTTGGAATTATAAGACATATATATATATATAGCTGTTTAAAATGCGATATATTTTAGTTAAACTTGTCTGTGACACGGGAGACACTAGGAGAGGAGGTATCCCTGTGAACACGGCTGGTGCAAAGCATCCAAAACGTCGGGCCGTAGTTAAAAATAATTTTCAGACATGTTTAAAGTGTTTAATTTAAATGTTTACTCGCGTGAACTACAGACAGTATTTATATTAAAGCTATTGGCTCTTCATTATCGCTGTCAAACTTATATAATATTACACTATTCCGGTTTCAATATTTACATAGGTAGTCTTAGAGTAGTCGGTGCGATACAAAAAGACTGATAGCGTGATGAAGAAAAAAAATCTAATCAATCCTGTATGTTCGTAGGCCGACATGCTAATCTCCAAAAGTACATTTTTTTAAATAGATTATTCTCACAGTGAAACGACATAGGGTTTGGTTAATATAAATAAGTTAAACAAGTCATATGTATTTTTAACACAGAAATATTTAGTCTTTGCAAGATTTTGCAACGAACATTTTATGTTACACAATACTGTAATTTAAACCGAATTATGACGTCCATGTCTACACGTGTAAATATATTATTGTTACTTGAAAATGCTTTGGATTCTATTTTTATACTCGCTGATCAGGCAAACGTTGTTTGTTGACCAATTCTAATAATTAATTTGTTATAATGTTTTAATTTCCACTCAATTTTATTAAGAATAAAGACACATTTTCCATGTTAATCTTAAAAAATTTACCCATTCTCCACTCCTAGCTGGTAGCAGCAAAGTTATAGTAGCCTTCCTCGATAAGTAGACACCACAAAATATATTTTTTTCAATCAGAACTAGTTCCTGAGAGTAGCGCGTTTTTACAGATAAACTATTCAGCTTTACTGTTATTATAGATTCGTTAAGATCGTTCGACCTTAAGGTCGTTATAACTTAATAAAACTGATGACCTCGTTGGTGTAATCGTAGCAATGTATGGCTAATAATAAGGCTAGTCGCCGATTCGAGTGTCCATCCGGTCCAACATTTTTAAGTCGATTTATAATTATTATTAATCGAAAACATGTTGGACTTGTTAAATCATTTTAAGGTGGTGTCCGTCAATTATGAAAGAGCTGTCCGTACGTTTCGGCCGTCCCGAGAACCAAAAGATCAATAATGCATCTTGCTGTTATGTTATATGGCGTACCCAATGAACCCCGTGTTTCCTCACTACCAGCGTTGCGTCAAAATCTCGTATAAACAAGTACACATACAATATACAGAAGGCCGAGCAAGACGCCAAACGGTGTACTCAATTCGTATTCCCCTTGTGCTTTTTCGCGAGCTTCCTGTAATATCAACCAGAGGCTAAGGAGTAATGTGGAATAAACTGCCGCATTGGGACGTGATGAAAGACGCTCTGCCCCTGCACAGATGCACGCCCCTTCTCCCCAGCTAGGGGAATTTATACGTGCATGATTATTCTAAAGTGCACCATACATATATAAGTATGGTTTCCTCTAATGAGAGACAGGGTTAAAAAATAATATTATATTGCGGAAAATATATAAGATTATAAAAAAGAAAAACTGTAGAAAAAGCAACATTGCCTCGCATTTACATATGCTTTAAGAAGTTATCAGCTTTTTTTATAACAGAGGAGGGCAGACTAGCCCGAAGTTTGTTAGATCTAACTGATCTGACTTCCTCAGCTAAATAACATCTAAACAAGATATGTTGTCGACCTATATGGGCTTTGACCATTTGGAAAACCACATACTAAAACCGACACTTAGATGTTCACTTTACGGCCTTTTCTCTTTTCGTGTATTCGTTCGTGACCCGGATGAACAGCTTACGATTTTAATATAAAGCAAACCTCATAACACAATATTTGTCATAAGTATTTGTTATGTTATTATCCCACATATAGTTTCTACTAGCATAGAAATAATCCTATAAAGTAAGGTTTGGTTCTTGGGTACTAATCCCGGAAGTCTGATAAACTACTAGCCCGTAAATAAAATCGATCATTGAAATGGTTATAGAAATATGTTTGCCCCATGCCTCACGTGGGGAAATAGAATTTAACTTTTTGTAGTCTTAATTTATTAATTTAAGGGTAGGTTATTGCCGTAGCGTTCGGATCGTCGTCCATTTATCGTCAGATGAAAATTTTTGAAAGTTAACCTTAAATACTGTCTATAGTTTACGCGAGTAGTACACATTTAAATAAAACACTTTAACGGTTTAAAACGCGATATATTAGTTAAACTTATTTGAAAATGATTTTTAACTTCGGCCCGACGTTTAGAATGGTTTGCAGCTGCCGTGGTCACTGAGAGGCGGAAGTAAAAAATCGTTTTCAAAAAAGTTTAACTAATATATCACGTTTTAAACCGTTAAAGTGTTTTATTTAAAAGGTAATATTAATTAATATGTGTTGTATTAAATTCTAGTGTATAAAATAGGCGAGTTTGTAAAAAGTAAGCATCAGCATGTGTAAAAATGTTCTAATTAAAAATAAAACTAACACGCATACCGTGCTATGTTTATAAAAAAGTGTGTATTATATATCCTGCTCGTTTGTCCTAACAAGAACACGTACTAAACTTAAAACACACACTTGACGAGGGAAAAATACACGCTTTTAAATCTTTTTTCCCTCCCCTTCGTTATTTGAATCATTTCTTACATCACACCGGGGAACCTACGACATTGCCCCTATTCTGTTATTAACAATTGTCTATCGCCTGGCAGGTACTGTTTATTTTCTTATATTTTACCAACTACATTGGCTAATCACTTTTACTAACTGGCTTACTTTACGTACGTTATCGTTTCATTCTGATTGCCTACCAGTTTCTTACTGTCCTCTCGCTTGCATCTCACTGCCCGTGACTTACCAGAATCAGGGTCTAAGCAAGTGCCGTATATCAAAGTTGGAAGCGAGAAATAACCACTGTTTACTATACACTTAGACAGCGCATAAGCCACTAACTTTAAAGCCCTTTCTCTTTGGATAATTACGCGTGGTTTCATTACATACATTTCATTTATGTGAATGTTAACTTTGATCCTGCCTGCTTAAATTTAATTTACGAACCGAACTTTCAGAATATAGAAGTAAATTGTACAAACTTTGATATTGTCTAAATGCTTTCGAAAACTGTATATAAATTGTTAAATTATATAAATTAAGCACATAACTCTTATGTACTTATCTGCAAATAATAACTATGATATAATATTACGAGAGAATGAGAATATATGCAGATGCCT